CTAATAATATTGGGAATCAAATTTGATTTTCCCAATATAATAGTTATTCGGCACTTCGTGCCGAATAACTATTAATTGTCTAAATATGCAATAAATCATTGGATTTGAAGCTCTCACTAGTGAATGGAATTTTATTTCTTGATAAAATATCGAGTCGTACAGATTTCTTACGAACCAATAATCAACTTAGGCACCACTCAAATGAATCCCCACAATCAACGTTGATAATTTAAATCATCCAGTAATAGTCACGGAATATGATTCAAATATTTGTTAACTTCTTTATGTTATGAATGATATAGATTTTTTTGCATATGTAATAATTTACTATTATGATAGTTCAAAAATACGGGAAAATTATAAAATAAACATAATTTCTTTAATTTTTTTAATGAAATTGCTATTATTTTATTTACAATGATATTTATAGTTCAATAAAAGGCTGTATCAGATATTCCATAGATCACTTGTTTTTATCCATTTTAAGAATAAAATGTATTATTTCTAAAAATCATTTCATATGTAATAAAATGAGACAGTTTTAAGTTTCACCAATTATCGTTAAATATACCTTTTCATAAGGATGAAACGAAAATGAAAGATTATAGCAATAAACCAAATTTTTTTTATATTTTATAATCTCGAATCCTATAGCGGTAGATTTTTATATTTTGTTGTATTAAAAATCACGTTAGTCATATGATCGACCAATCTTTGCGTAAAATGGACAGAAATTCTCCTATTGATTATATAACTTATTTACTTCTATTCAACGATTGTAAAATTATTTCAACAATTCCGTTAGGATATTAACTTATCAAGATGAGAAGTTAATTCAACACAATATAAAATTCAAATGGTATGAAGTCGAATCCAAATTAAATATATTCTAACAGAATGTCTTTGGTTAGGTATCGCTGTGAACGACGAACGAGCATTATGGACAATACATTGTTGCTTGAATATCCCCGAATTCTTTTCTTCCTTGAGAGAATTACCAATGAATAATCCCCAGCTTATATATAAATAAAAGACTAATAAGATAATAAAATAAGTGATAGAATTCAAATAATTGACAGAATACCTTGAAACAAATTGAATATAGAACGAGAGGAATTAAACTATCAATTGTTACAAATTGATTATTTGAAGGATTCGATGGAAGAAACCTAATAAACTACGTTAAAAAGTTGTTAAAAGCTCAATGTTATGTATATGAAGTTTGATTGAATGAATTATAGTTAACGCAATTTATTGATATTTAAACTTTACCTTTTTTATATATTATTGTTTTATCACAAAACAAATTAATTTTAATAATAAATTAATGTAAATGTTATATAGAACGTCCAATATCGTCAAAACAGATTTCGAGATTTTCAGTATATGTGGTAATTATTTTAAAAAGGAAAAATCCACGATGACTAATTAGGAAACTGTGGTGACAATTCTATTAAAAATACAAATTTGGTCGTACAAATATTGAAATTTTTTTTTTTTTTTTTTTTTTTAAAAGAATAAAAATGCGTTTATGCAAGTAAAGATGAATCAAAATTTTAATTTGATATCTTTTTACTTTTTTTATTTATTCGGTGTCTTAGACTTTATGACAATAATTAACATTTTCACTTTCATGTACAGTAAATTTGAGGGGACATTTATGCTTAAGGTTAACGATTATCTTTATGGAATATAAGTTTAAGTTGTTTTATTTTAAAAAGGCTGCATATTTATGGAACCAGGCAACAACATATTTCGAACTTTAAGCATAGTTACACGCCAGCCAATAGCAGGTGAAATGACATACTCATCAATAATATCCTGTCTAGCACACAAAAAACCTGCGGAGAGATTCAATTTGAAGTCTTCTTTCCCAATACTCACTTTAACTGGAACGGTCACCAATCCAGAAGGTATTGTGGAGGGACATAGCATTTTACGTAAGTTTATATCTTGACTCATTATATGGAAACAAAGCGCATACCAATCCATCATAGCAAGGAATCAGCACTCCACTAAGATAAGGAATCTTGTAAATAATCATGCTCTAAAAGTCTACGTCAAGGTTTCCTTTATAGGTGGCAACAAATAGAGAAACCACTGGTTCCAATCTGTCCAACCAAAAATCAAGTTCCAATCCTAACCCACGAAGTTTTGCGACCTTTTCTTGAAGGTGTAGCCAATCTTCTAAGGTACCAACAAGTGTAACCTTTGGAATACCACAACCACAACTCATTTTGTAGGTGAAACACTTTTTCATAGAATCCAACAATATAATTTGACTATTGCATTTGTTGAAATGGCAGGTCCCAAATTATAATAGTCGGATTGGAATCTGAACTTTTCGTATGATCTAACGAGAATGTATTTATTGGTCCATGGTTTGAAATAAGACTTAATATCTCCGTGTTTAAGGAATTCATTTTTTGGTTCAACTTTATCAGTAATTTTTGGATACTTCGTGGTGAGTTCATTTTGTTCTGTAAATTCAAAAGTAATTGGACATAAAATTGAAATTGGTGATTTCCTCATAAGGTTTAACAAAGGCCAAACAGCTGACAATAAGATCAAGCCACAATCGATCTTTAAACGTCGTTGCACTAATCACTCTAAAATATAAATATCTTTATTTCTTGGTCATTAGAAGAATATATTAACAGTCTCAAATACTTTTGTTTTTATTTGTAATTGTACAAATTTCTATTTTAGTTAAAGATAAAATGAACTAAAAAAACTTCTGATTAAATAAAAGAAAATTACTTTGTTCATATCATATACTTTTTTTTAAAGGATCATTCCATTATATTAGCATTGTCGGCTTCTTAAATATTTTTAATTAATATTTAAGATAGCTGTAAAATCCATAATTCTAGCGAAAAGTAATACATGCAATGATTTGATAATTCAAGAATATGACAAAATAAAAGTGATGTTAAAATTTTCAGTAAATCACATGACGACAAACTTCCAATTTAATTTTAAATCATACAATGCAATGGTTAATTTATTTCGATGACTCATAAACTCTGATACAGAAATCTAATTTCGCATAAAAATATATTATTGCTAAATAAGATAAACGAAAAATCAATTGGGCGGATTTAGCGTTCCAATGCATCTCCCTCAATGTGATTAGTTGGTGATCAATTGAATTAAGATGGAGATCGGTGCTTGAGCAATATCTTTTTCTCTTTCTATCATGAATAAAAAAAAAGGTTTAGCTCTAGCTTGTAATTAATTTGTGTTCTAAGTCTATTAACGCCTCCAAGTATCTATCAGTAAAATTGACTAAAGACACTTGACTTACTTCATGTGCTTCTCTAATACTCGTATTCCTTCTCCATTTGCTAGTTGTTACATATAATGCATTAGCTGTTTATTTCCATATAGACGTTGCATTTTGAGGAATTTAAATGAAAGTTGGATGTAAACAACCACAATAAAGCGAAATGTTGCGAAAGTTATTTAAAAGAGTTATGAACATCCCCATCACCAAAAATGGGAAAACATCTGTCCTGTTTTAGGTCTTAGCCGGTGTTGTATTCTTACATTTGATGGAGGGAAAATTAAAGATTGTAAATATTGAATATTATTTGCATTTGAACATACTGACATTTTTATTTGCTATAAGAATTTGTATTATATAATAACCAGCTGGCGATAGTCATGCTGAAAAACCATGGCACAAAATGGAAAAAAGGAAATACTTGCTTGATTGCTTAATCAATGGTAAAATTTAACCAATCAGCTCAACACTGTGAAGAAATAGCACAGGTTTTTTTGATTTAAATGATGATCGGCTCTATTTTTTTAACCAATCAAATCATCAATATTTATTTTAATTTCGGAAGTACTATTTGCTTGGTATACAATATATACCTTACACTAAATACTAAGTCATATTCGTTAAAATTGCAATAATTAAATTAAATATTAAAATATCGCGGAAACAAAGAAATTAAGGATATAAAGATTACTGAGAAAGAAAATACAAATTTTCCCTAATAAATAACTCTTTCTCCAACCCAGCATGCTCTATTAGCGAGAGACAATAAAGAGAAGTATATTTCTTCAGCCACAAAATAAAATTAATGCTCTTGGATGTGTAATGCTGTCTTTAAAAGATATGGACCTTTGCAATAGAAAAGTGGGAAACGGCTAGAAAAAAATAAAAATTGAGTTAATGTTAAATCTGAACATATTTTGACCTAAAGATCAAATTTTGGCATATAAAAGTAAAATTGATTTTTTCGGAAGATTCCCTCCTTTCTATTACAAAGGTCCATATGACTTAAATAAATTCTCGAGTCATAGCTTTATTACTATTAACTTTATCAAAACTGCATTGTTGTTCAAAAATTTTGTCCAGTTCTTCATCATTAAATGCTGGGGACAATTGTGCGAAACTCTACAGATTGAATTCCTGTAATATCACCGCAATCAAAGTGGTAATATTTTAATCTTCCAATCAAATAAGCTTTTCTATTCTGAGTAGAATGAAAATAAGTTATTTTGACATTATTGTATAAAACTCACTACATGCAATTGTGTGATGCGTGTTCTCTATTTTTTTGTTGACCCTTGGTGATCAAAATAAATATGGTATGGCTAACTCTCAAACTTCTATTTGGTATGTTTAAATTCTGCACTCCTCCCTACTGTAGATTATAAATTATGTTTCACTTGAAATGCAAATAGGGAAAATTTAATATTTGGTAAATTTATTTGCTTACTGACCAAATCAGACTACTTGCATCGAAAAAACTAGTGGTTTAATTCTGATAGGAGTTGTTGACCTTAAAGGAGAATACTAGCTCTGAGGTTCAACAATTTTAATGCTTCAACTTCTTTTGTATCAATGCTTGCAAAAACATCTAGGTTTGTAGTTTTAGATATATTAACATCTAACTTTTCGGGCTCAGCATACTTCAAGAATAGTCCACAAAATATTATGAAACATGGGCAAGTTCTTGAACGGTAAACTTGTTTTTATCTTCGCTAGACTTTTTTTTTAACCGCATGCTTTTGTGACAGGTTATTCCCATGACGTGATGAGCAATCTCACCGAAATTCAAACTAAATTTAAATTCTGGGATTGAAAAATATAAGAAAATTATATAAAGATAATTCTAATTCAAAATAAAATAATTAATTAAAAAAATAAAAACAAACAAAAATAAATTGCGAATATTAAAAATTTGGAATTTAAAATTAATTACCATAAAAAATCACACTAATAAAAATCAATTAGAGCATTAATAAAATTATAGAAAAATAATTAAAAGAATTTAAAAACTAAATCCCGCGATTTTAAAAATTAAAAAATTAAAATTATTAAAATTTAAAAATTAAAAAAAAAAGTTTTACAGAATATAATACAAAATTAAGAAAACAGAAAATAAATTAAATTACATTTAAATTATTTAAAAATTAAAAAAAATCAATTATTATAAATTTATCATTAAAAATTGAAAATAAATAATAATAATATAGAAATTACAACAATTACGAGTTAAAGTTAGAATTAGGATAGGGTTAGAGATATAGAAGATTATATCTTTGTTATATACTGTATATGCAACAACTTTAAAATTAAGTTTTTAACATCTATTTCACCTCGCGTTAGCGAACCCTCGGGGCATTGCCCGAGTAAAACCGCTAGTTTTCTTGAATAATGAAATTAATAATACTATACAATTTTATACATTATTATGGTTAAATATATATAATTTAAAATTTAGACATTAAAGATAAAAACACCTTTTTTATAGAATTTTTTAAATTATTATTTTGTTCTGAAAAACATTTATGATGAAAAGTATAACTATATACAAATATTATACCTTCTTCTTATGAATATTTGTCAAAATTTTCATTTTTTCATATAACGAATTTATTCTAACTCAGGCCCGTCGTAAGTAAGATTTAAGCAACCTTTTACTTAATAAGACTTTTTTATGTAGTTGGTTATTATATTCAAGTCTATATGAAGACACAATAAAGGTTTGAAAGGTAAGGATAGAACTTTTATAAACCAAGGTTTCGGATGTCTTTTCCTAAGACTCGTCAATTCTACTTTAATCAAGGCGAATTTTTGAGGATTTTATACAAAGATTCTAAATACTTACTTTTTCCATATAAAACAAATATAACGAATATAGCTAATTTAATAGAAATAATTAATTAAACGAAAATAATTAAAAAAACTAAATGTAATATAATTACATACATAATTGATATAATAATTATTTTTGATATTTAGAAATGAGAAATTATTCGTTATCGACAAATATCACGTGAAATATCTTTTATACAATAAATTTATTAAATAAAATTAAATTTTGACAAATACTATGAGCTTCTTTATGAGGTTAAAAGTGTAATAAATTCATTTTTTTTATTTCTGTTACACAAAATAGAAATTCTTAAACCGGACAGATCTTCATTTCCTTTCATTGGGCACAACATAAATAACCTGTTTATGTAGAAGTCGGCATCCGACGGAGTATATTTTTATTGTTAAATATGCATTATTAAGATCTTAGAATTGTGAAACAAAAACAGGCAATGTGATGATCGTCAAGAGGTTTTCCATGGATAAATAAAGGGGAAAAACCGAAAAAAAAAAAAATTGTTGATATCATGGAACAAATAGTTAATTTTACAACAAATGGCACAATGACAGTTACATCAGCACACAATAAAGATAAACCAAATTTGGAAGGAAATACATATAAGAAATGTCCCCGATGTAAAAAAAAGAAGAGTTAAAAATCATGAGATTTGCCAAATTTGTTACAGATTATGTAAGCCAAGCGGAAGTAAAATAGTTGATGATTTTATTAGGGATAAACAAATGAATACCGAAGGTAATATTATTGAATTTATTCCCTATGATCAATTCAAGGATATAAAATTTTGTGTCGACAACGAATTTAGTAAAATTTATAAAGCTACTTGGATCGATGGTTATATTCTACGTTGGAATATGAATAGGGCAAATTTTGATCGGAACGGATTTAAAGATTAATGAAAGCAATACCAGGTTTAATAGAAAAACCAATATCGAAGAAGTTAATATTTTGTCTTAATGATGACCTGCTCTTAATTTCGTGATTTTCGATTCTTCTAAAACGTTACATACTATAGTCTCCTGCATTTTTTTTTTTTTCTTTCCTCCAAGAATTTTATTTTTACAAAAATTGAGTAAATCAAAATGCAACCTACCAACAATTCGGATGAGTGGGTTAACTGGATCGAAGAATCTATCTCACGAAAACACATTAAGTATTATGAATACGAACATTTTAGTAATATTCGAGAGATTGGCATTGGCAGCTTTGGAAAAGTTTATCGTGCAAATTGGAAAGTTTTAAAGCAACGTCTTGCGTTAAAATCGCTTCATAACTTTGACAACACCACTATGAAAGCACTTGTTCGTGAGGTAATTACAATACGGTCTATTTCAGTCTGTTTAGTTTAAAATCGTTTATAACTAACCTAAATTTATATTCGAAATAATTTTAGATTGAAATTCAACGAGAAGTGGATTTTCATGATAATATTATCCGTTTTTGTGGGTTAACTAACAATCAAGGTAAATCTTCATAATAAAGTTTATATATCGAATTTTATATTTGGTTTAAATCATTTTTAATATATGCTTATATTATTATTTTTTTTTAAAAAAAAAAATTAGAAAATCAATTGAATGAGTATTGGTTAGTTGTGGAGTATGCAGATGGCGGTACACTTAAAAACTATTTGAAAGATAATTTTGATAAGCTTTCATGGGGAGATAAATACAATTTTGCATTTCAGTTGGCAAGTGCTGTGTCGTGTTTACATAAAGAACGAATTGTGCATCGTGATTTGGTAAGTTTGCTTAATATCTATCTTTTTTGTTTATCATTGTTGCTATAATTCATATATCTCTATAATAGCATTCTGGTAATATATTAATTCATCAAGGTATTATTAAACTAGCTGATTTTGGTTTATCGAAAAGAATTGAAGCTGTTGCAACTACTCAGCAAAAAGTTTTTGGAGTAATTCCTTATGTTGACCCAAAATTTTTTAACAAGCAAAGAGGTGACAATACATCATCACAATTTAAACTAAATGAAAAGAGCGACGTTTACAGTGTTGGCGTGCTCTTTTGGGAGATATCAAGCGGTAATCCTCCTTTTTATGTTGAAGATGAGCAATATGACATTAGTTTAGCAATAGAAATTTCGCAAGAACTTAGGGAAAAGTACATTCCTGGTACACCTAAAGAGTATGCGAAAATTTATACCGGTAAATATATTAATATGTCAACTTTAATTACTATTTCAATGGTTTTGATTAATATATTTCTACGTTTTAGAATGCTGGGATAATGATCCAGATAATCGTCCATTAATAAATCAGGTGGTTGAAAAATTAAATGCAATCGTTACAATAACCAATAGAACAGAAGATATCCAAACGAATAATACTGAATCAAATCTTCAACAATCACCAGAACTACAACTTTATTCTTCTAATACATCACATGGTGAATTATCTCTAATTATTCAAATTTTGATCAGGTAAATGACCAAATGAATAGTAATGTATCATTATCGGAGGAATTATCTCAAAATTTTAGTCTGATGAATGTAGAAGAATTAGAGTCAACTATTGAAGTATCAGATATTATTTATGATGATACTATTGAAAGTTTAACGATTACGGAATTTAATAAGGATGACATATTTAATGCCTTAGGAGGATTGCAAAGATATCGAAAACTAACTAAAATTACTTGTAATACTAAAATAAATAGCTTACCAACTCTACCCAACTCCTTAACGGAACTTAATTGCTCTGATACTTCAATAACTATCCTACCAACTTTACCCAACTCTTTAACTTATCTTGATTGCTCTAATACACCAATAACTAACCTACCAATCTTACACACCTCTTTAACGGTACTTAGGTGTTATAATACTAAAATAAATAGCTTACCAACAATATCCGACTCCTTAATGGAACTTCATTGTTATGAAATTAAGATAACTATCCTACAAACATTATCCAACTCCTTAACTTATCTTCATTGTTCTGATACTCTAATAACTACCCTACCAACTCTACCCAACTCCTTAACGAAACTTAATTGTTCTAATACTCCAATAACTATCCTACCAACATTACCCGACTCCTTAACTAAACTTGATTGCTCCTATACTCTAATAACTATCCTACCAACTTTACCCAACTCCTTAACGGAACTCTGGTGTTATAGGACTAAAATATATAACTTACCATCTTTACCCAACTCCTTAACGGAACTTCATTGCTCTGATACTCTAATAACTAACCTACCAACTCTACCAAACTCCTTAACGAAATTTAATTGCTCTGATACTTCAATAACTATCCTACCAAAATTACCCAACTCCTTAACGAAACTTAATTGTTCTCATACTCCATTAACTTTCCTACCAGCCTTACCCAACTCCTTAACTATACTCTGGTTTTTTAGGACTAAAATAAATAACTTACCAACATTACCCAACTCCTTAACGAAACTTTATTGCCATGAAACTCCTATAACTGTCCTAACAAATTTACCCAACTCCTTAACGGTACTCGACTGTTATAAGACTAAATTAAATAGCTTAACGGAACTTTATTGCTCTAATACTCCAATAACTTTCCTACCAACTTTACCCAAACATTTAACGAAACTTAATTGCTCTGATACTTTAATAACTATCCTTCCAACTCTACCAAACTCCTTAACGAAACTCAATTGCTCTCATACTCCATTAACTATCCTACCAATTTTACCCAACTCCTTAACTATACTCTGGTGTTATAGGACTAAAATAAATAGCTTACCAAACTTACCCAATTCCTTAACAAAACTTTATTGCCATGGTACTCGAATAACTATCCTACCAACTTTACCCAACTCCTTAACGGTACTCGACTGTCATAAGACTAAAATAAATATCTTACCAACTTTACCAAACTCATTATCGGAACTTTATTGCTCTAATACTCCAATAACTATCCTACCAACTTTACCCAACTCCTTAACGGCACTCGAATGTTTTAAGACTAAAATAAATAGCTTACCAAATGTACCCAATTTCTTAACGATTATCCGACCTAAATCTTTAAAACCTCCTGCCAAATCGAATAACTCCTTTTCCTGTTCCTGTACTATTACCTAAATATTTAACCTTCTTCATAACCATTCTTTAATGAGGAGTAAAGTTATGATAAGCTTTCACATAATTTAAAAAGCATCGACGATAAATTTGTGACTATAATTATATTCATTTAAACTTGAAATACAATGTCGTAAAAAATAATTTACAAAAAAAAAAAGTAAGATTAATGAAAACTTCTAATATTTTAATGATTTATAATTTTATATAATATTAATATTAACAATCTCAGCTTGCTTTAAGAAACTTAAAGAAAATAATATTCAAATTGTTTTTTTTACACGCTTATTTCTATTTAATATATAATTTCAAATACGAAATTTATTAATTTTTTGTGAATAAACTTTTATTCCTTTTCATATTCATTTCCCATTTTATACATTTTATCTCTTAAACAATATAATATTAATTTGCAAGATTGTATAAAACCATTTGTTTAAATCAATAAAAAATTTATTGAAAGAAATGAAAATGCTTAAACAAATATTTTAGATAAAATTTATATTAGAAAAAAACTTTGATATTGTCTAAATAAATGAACCGTAATGATAATTTAGTTAGTCCAGAGCGTAAGCGAACTATACAACTTAATAAATTTGTTGGTCTGTCCGCCCTGCTCAAATAATTATATCCATATTTTCAAATTAGGCATTTTCCCTATAAAAGCTTTTAAGCTAAAATTTTATAAACTTAACTAACCTGACTGTAGTTCTTTAATATTGTATTTTCTCAAAGAACTAATATCCTTATTTTATGGAAACGAGAAAATCGTAGTTTATGAGAAAATACCCCACATAGCGCTTCCTGAAGGACTTGAAATATACATTAATATATTATATAAAGCAAAAACAAAGGCATCCCATGAATATAACAATTCACCTTTCTTTCAACTCTTTCTCGCTACACGAGCATTGATATCTTAGTTCCTGGAGTTTAGAAATAGAAATAATAAGCAAAATTTCGAAACTGATTACGATCCAATGAATCAACTTGGTCACATAATTTAATCGACCTATAAAAATTTTTATTGGGATTTTACAGTCTTTCTTATGAATTGTAATTAAACTTGATTCTTATAATGTAAGAAATTTATTAAATAATAATTTATTAGGGATTCTAATTTAAGCAAAGCAACACAAATGGAAGCGTAGTTCAACCCTGCAAAAAACCAGATATACATGGATTTATTTTTAAATCTATAATTTGGGAAATTATATTTGGTGAGATTACAAATTGTTCGATGGACAAATCATCAGCGGTAAAAGAACATGCACGAAAGAACCGTATAAAACTTAATTTTCTAAGGACGCATGAGAAAAAATGTTATATTGTTGTAAGACAAGGAACGATTTTGAAAAATTATTAGCCAAGCACATTTTGATTCATGCTTATGGTAAACTTAAATTTGCCTTTTTCATTAAGTCATCATCATGGATAAATTTCCTAACGAAATAAATTTCTATAGGGATAGAAATGGTGATTTTATTAGTCAAATCGCAAATTATTACATTCATTCTTGAATTTCCATATAATGAATCAGATGACTACATTTTTTCTGATCAGTTAATAGAAATCATTAGAGGATTAATTTGTATTAGGCAGACTCTTCAAGAAACTATCAGTATAGTAATGGATTTGGGATTTTCACAAAATTCTCATATTTTAATTTGCCATCGACAACCATTTTATTCCGAAGGCCATATAATTGATCTGCAAACCAAAAAAAATAATTAAGAAAAACATTATATGAATAATCTTTTTATTTTTTAACAATAGATCAAGCAACTAATCCTATTTCATACGGTAAATTCACTTGCAAGTTGACTCTGAGATAATCAGGCTAAAATTGAACGTTCTCAAATTCCTCATATTTTGTAGCTTGAAAATATTATTCAACATAAATCATCTTTTTCTATCCAGAGTCTCTGAAAATAACATTCACGACTTCGTAATTACCGTCATTATTTTCCTCCTTTTCGCACACTTTAGAAACCTTTCTATCAACAATACGTACGTAATTTCCCAACATGAGTAAATCGCAATTCGATATCTTGATACATTTTATTGTTGAATTTTATTTTATTTATCACAAATGTCCAAATTTTGGACGAAAAATAACCCTCCAAAAGTTGTTGACTAATATTGATTTCATTATAAGAGGACCAGAAATTTGCTTTTGTTATTAAATGCTTGCTAATAAATTGTAATTATAGCACTTTAAAATCGAAGTTCAAAGATTTTATGTACATTCTAACGAATTTATATTTGAATGAGGTCGTCAGTTATTCTATCGCGTATACAAATAAGATTACACCGTTTAAATGTTACTTATTACCATATTAGTTAATAATATAAATGTTTTTATATTTATATTACGAAATTTTAATTCAACAATTACTTTTCCAGGTAAGTGTAGAAATACTGTACGTTTATAAATCACTCAAAATTTTATTATTTTTCTTTGAAACTATTACATAAATGTTCTTCAATATTATTTTCAGTTTGCAAATTGTGTTGAGGTTGACCATTAATTGATATATCGAAAACAATTGCTTAATAATTAAAGTCGAAATTTTTAATTTAATTAAAAAAATTGAGATTAATTCAAATAGTTTGTTCATAATTGCACAATACAATATGCTATTTATAAGTATCTTTGGATTCTAATGATAAATATTTTCGCGAATTGAAAAAGAAATTTTATATGGAAAATAAGATTTTATCGTTAAAAGACAGCATATAATTTAATTAATAATATGGAACATTTGCAATAGAAATGGTGAAACTTCCGGAAAAAAACTATTAACTTTTAATGCCGAATATGACTCTCGGGCCGAGATCTAGTAACAACTCAATTTTTATTTTCCCAGCAGTTTCCCCTTTCTATTTTTTGTAAGGTCCCATATAATCATCTCTTTACGCTCTTATTTATATGCTACAAATTTAAAGATCTTATATTGAGAAAATCAATAAAAAAAAATAGTTAATAATATTGAATTTTGGTAAGTATTTACATACAAAATAATAGTAAAGCCTATTGGGAATAGTATAAGATATAATTTTAGAATTAACGTTGCGTTGTCACCCTTTATTTTATTGATTAAAAATTATTCAAACTTCAAAAATACGAAATTATGATTTGTTTAAGAAAATAATTTTCACTTCATTTTATTATACTGTAATTAATTTGGTATATTTTATATATTAATAAATGTATTAAGTTAAATACATCCTACGTAATGTTATGTTAAAGTTGATGTTTATTCAAAAAAGGTTGTCAATCTTATGTTGATCGGAAATGCACACGTCTTCCGAGTTTAATTCCAAATTTTCGTCATTACCAATTTTAAAATGTTTTCCTTTTACATTTATTAAAGAAAATATAAATATTTTGTCTAATAATAAATGTTAATAAAAACAAATGTTAAAACTTACCATTATTATATTGATATTCAAGTTGTAATACATCATTATTTCGTTTTTTAGGCGATTTATTGATATATATTGCCTTTGTATGCTGAATATTTGAAGAAATTTGAATATCGGAGTTTGTAATCGATCTAAGCATGATAAAAAAAAATAAATAAATGTATATAAATAATTAATAGCTAACTTTATTATATAGATTGTAATACCTTTGAATATCAAACTCATATTCTCGCGATACATATTCTAAAAATAGTTTATTAAAGATTAATTTTAATGAGTCATTTAATCCAACTTGATAGTAAGTAATTACACACCTGTCGAGATTGAATTTATAGATGAACATTTAGATATTATAGTGTTTAACGATCTACTTGTATAAATCGCTTTTGGATGAGGTTTTTCACAATATTCGGGACCCAATTTCATTAATTGTATCAATTCTATTCTCTTTGCTTCGGCTTGCTCAAATTGTTCAGTATTTATTTTCCTATTTAACCAATTGTCAATCGTTTCATAATTTCAGCTATAAAAGGTCTTTTTAAAGGATCAGAATCCCAGCATCTATTCATTATATCTATAAAACATTCAGGAGTATCTGGAGTAATTTCAGGCCGATTTCCATCAATGATTTTACAAATCAGGTCGGTATCATGCTCAACGTCAGCAAAAGGTTTACAACCAGTTGTTAATTCCCACATGATCATTCCTAAACTATAAACATCAGATGCTTTTGAAAACTTGGCGCCATTAAATATTTCAGGTGCGATATAAGGTATGACACCATATATATCATATCATTATTTAATGGGGTAACGTTGGCGGGTAATTAAATAAACCAAATTTATATTTATTTGATATTTGTATTAGAATATATATTACTTATACCAATTATTACAAAATTGCTGTGATTTTTTTCTAATATTTTTTCAGACGGTCTGAGTAGAGTTTTAGCCACTAATAGAATTCAGCGATATCTATTTATTCTGAAGCGATTTTAGAACTATTCAAAGATTAATATTGGTTGGATTCGAAATTCAATAAAAACCTTTCAACTGATTTCGTTATTGAGATTAAGGAAAGCGCAAAAAAAACGGAATTTTATCACACATTAATAAATTTCTCGTTATCTTATCGTTAAAAATTGCTTACAAACATAAGTTGTGCAATATAAGATAACCTATAAAAGTCATTAACAATATCTAATAAACAAGGGAGGCAAGGCATACAAAATTAAATGAAAAGATATTGAGTAAATAACAAAAAAAGTAACTTATCACTTACTTGTGGAAGCGATCCTAAAGAAAGGGATCTATTTCTGGTTGGGAAATCGTTCAATTGCTGAGATCGAACCTGTCAAAATAAATAACCAAAAAAATAAAAATAAAATAAAAATCCCCGACGACGAAATACCACAACGCGAGCCATACCAGAAGATGGTCAACCAATGACCATGCAAGATTGCGAAATGCCCATTTGCATATGGAAATAACCTGATATGAGACCTTTGCAATTGAAAGGGGAAAAATAAAAATTGTGATAATGCAAAAACTCAACATATTTTGACCTAAAAATCTAATTTGGTATTTAAAAGTAAACTTGATTTTTTCCGGCAGTTTTCCCCTTTCTATTGCCAAGGTCCCATATATTATTTACCATAAATTCACGGGTTTCAAAGATTATTACGGAAAATTACTCCATGGCCAATATATATTTATCATATGTGACCGTGTAATTATTTTGGAACTTCACATCTACTTAATATTTGGGTAATCGCGATTATAATATTTCTCAATATACCGTAAAATGTATGTTTAAATAATAATTTGCTAAAGTTGTAAATTATTTTATTTTTTATATGATACCGTTTGTTCGAGATGTTGCAACAAATAGAAGCAAAAGGACCTAATAGGGCAGGATTAGATAAAATGTATGCAAGCCTGATTCTGATCGTAAGGTGACAGAAGCGTCGAAAGTGAAATGTACTGGTGCATAAATTGCAATCATATTATTGACAATATTATTATCATCATATGTTTATAAAAATAAAATTCATTTAAATAATTTAAATTCTGTATTTGCTATAAATATTTAGCTTTTATATTGATTTAATTACAAAAAAAAAATCAAAACAAAATAATGTTATAGGTTTAACGATATTTTATATTTTAAAATATTATTTAAAATTCATTCGCTAAATCACTTTATTAATAATATTAAAAAATTTTGTTAATTTTACCTAAAAAACATCATAATTTTATAAATATTATTTTTTGATAATAAATTTAATGATTTTAATTCAATTTTTTAAAGTTCCAATTTAATTTTAATAGTTTGTAAATCACGTTTTCGTACCTGCCGTTTTAAGAAAAATAACATTTTAAATCGCATTTTATATATGTTCTGTTATTGAAATTATGCTTCGGAGTAGAAAGGTTCCCGTTTCCTAGTTATATTATGTAAATTAAAGTCATATCAAATAATGATTTGGAATATACAAAGTCAGTAATTTCATTTTAGAAATAATGTCATGTGTTTTGCGTATGATGTTTTTTTAATACTTTTAAATAAGTCAACCTCAAATACTTTTTTCATTCAAGCTTCTCTTGAAATATATCTACATTTAAACACATTGTGACTACATCTCTTACCAGTGTTGTACACGGACTTTTTCCATGAATATGCTTTATACTTTATGCTTGATTCTTAATTTGCGAATTAAGGTTCAATTTATATACAGTATATATATTTTTTACTTAATTAAACAATATTTTGTTTCTTAATACCTAGATCTGATTAGATCAAGAACAAAAAACTTGTACACTTTGTTCCTAAAAGTCCTCTTCTCATATTGTAAAATTTGTTGCACAAAATTTTTTGTTGTGGTTGTTCATCTAAGAAAAATGTAAAATTTAACTACAGTTGGGATGATTTTAGTAAAATTTCAAGCTGCAAAACGAACAACTTTTTCAAAATAACAATAATAAAGGTATTTTAAAGAAAATAATATAAGGCTGTTAGTTTGGTATCTGTAAACTAAAATGATTAACTTTTAATTCGATACGTTGAATTAAATACAAGACTTTATCACAATCACGCTATATGGAGACACGACAAAAGGTAATAGCAAATGAATTTATAAGTTCCTTTATTGAACTCTTAGTTTATCCTAAATCCCTATCTCGAGTTACTTTCAAAATACAAGATAATGAAAATAAACTAGTTGCTTCCTATAATTATTTTAATATATTAATATTTAATTATAATAATTAATTTATTAATAAAAATAATTACCTGTAATATTTGATAAATATTCTCTTTTGCTTGTGTAAAAATTACATATTTATATAAAATAAAATACTATAAAATCAAATATAATAAAGATTATTCTACTAATTCGTTCCAGAAACAATGGCAATATACTCAAGACGTTTCTGAAGCCGTGATCCGTGACTGCGCCTAACTAGTCATGTGATTAGAAATGATTAACGAAGTGGATAATGACAAAGTGGTGGTCATCGTTGATCTATTTGATATATTAGATAGAGTCGTTATATTTGTTAGGGGGAACCGTTCATATGTGTAAACAATTTATTACTTAAATAATACGCATCTTTCAAACTTTCATATAATATATAGTTTTTTCGTTTCATCTAAACTAATCGATTTTTTTAATCAAAAAATCATTTGCTAAAGATTTTTCTTTAACTCTTTAATTCAGGCTCATATTTCTTTTTCTCTATATTTTTGGGGGTTTTTTTTTATATTAATGTTTATATGTTGTATTATATCTTTTATTTTTTTTGCTTTTTAGGAAATAAAGTAATTAAATTGGTTTTTATTTTGGGGTTCGATTTATTAATTAAATAGGCAAACGTTTTCTTCGATTATTTTTGATATTTTTTTTTTTTTTTTGACGATTCGATTTGGTTTCCCCTCTTTCGGTTTCGGGTTGCGTTGATTAAATAATAGGAAGTGTTTTCTCATGGTTCGTTTTTTCATTTTTTCATTATTTATTTTGATTTAACTTTGGCTTTTTTAATTTATATTTATTTCTTCTTATAAAATCTCCTCTCACGGGTTCGATTATTTCCATTATGTCCATCGATTGATTTATAGTAGATTTCTCATTAAGAACATCGTTTTTTAGTTTTCTACTTTTAGAACACGATTTTTTTTTCTCGTTGTTTCGGTTAGTATTATTTCTTCAGACCTTACTGATCGAATATTTTACCATTCCGCCTTTTATAGCTTAATTGAACATTTATTTCTTTAGGTCTTCTTTCGTTTTAAATCGATTCTGAAATAGATAAGGCGATTTCCTTTTTTTATCTTTTAACTTTTATTTTATTTAATGGGTTTAATCGCTTTGGGATGCAGCGATCGTAAAATATTTTGGCAGAAGGGTGGTGGTGGATTGTTAAAAATAATATCCTCACTTATTGCGCCACAAAAAATTGATTCGATTTTTCATTTGAATTTCATTTAATTCGAGAAATGATTCCAATACCTATTTTAAAATATGATATGTTATAGCATGGGTTAAATTAAGTCAATTAAACGAGAACCAAGAAAAGAATCATATATACAGCTATATAAATGACAACTTCTTTCGACCTTGTAGTTTAACTATTAGCCCGAGCAAATAAAGTAAGTTAGGTGAGCTCATAATTATGAACGATTGATGTCGAACTTAATAATCTTTTACAACCAGTAATTTTACAAAGAACGTAGTTAATGATCGTTTTAAAATTTACCAATCATCCACAATGTAATTATTTTAACACAATTTATAAAAAATATATTATACTGTCATACGCGGATATGTCTCACGAACATGGGATATCGCTAATGCATCTTTCTTCATGATGAAAGAACAGTGGATCACATACGTGTTGAAAGTTTGGAACTAATATAAGATGAACTAAAGTACGACTTTACAAATATGATTAATCTTCAGGTAAAGTGACAATATTGAAGAATTTCCTAAATGTTGTATATTTAAAATTTACTGAATTTGGATTATACTATTGCTGTACATTTGATCTTTTATTTTATTACTTTAATATCATTTGTATTGATTTACGGTTCTTCAGGAATCATTCATGAGATAATAACGACATTAATATAAGGAGAGTGAATTTGTGATTTTACGATATTAAAAAATATAACAAAACTTAAAGTGAATGGTAACATAACGTGTTGAATCAAACATTTCAAGTATATTATTCATGATTTTTGTTAAGTGTCTAAAATATAAAAAATTTAAAAACAACCAATACGGAAACTATTTTTATTGAAATGGGAAAATTTTTGTATAGTCTTCGTTAATTATATATTTGGTATAAGCCAAATTTAATGTACATTTTTCCTGTTAAAAATTAACTAATAAAATTTGTTCGGCACGAAGTGTCGAATAACTATTATGTTGGGTAAATCAATTAGCTACCTTACGTTTTAAGTGTTGGATAATTGATTTATCCGATATCACGTAGTAACTTTGAAGATACTTTTTAACCTTTTTTTCTTTCATCGCGATATAACTTTTGTCATAAATTTCTTAAATATTTTTATAATTTATGGGTTATAATGTCAGAAATTTGTATAATATTCAGCAAGTTCAACAAGATACATAGGTACTGGATGTTTACATTTTATTCTTTTATCATACTGGCTCCAATTTATACTATATTTACCTAACAAGTTTAATCAAAGACTTCAAAATTAATGAATGAGTAAATAAGAGAAAGATAAAAAATCAAATGTTATAATTAATGATATTGAATAATTGATACACAATTTTCAAATACAAGTTTCTGCTTATATTTCCTTTTCGCGACTTAACCTATACGTCACACAGTATACGATATTATATCATGTGAAATGTTCAGAATGTATAATAAATCGCTAAGTCAAATATATTTAACAAATTTTTTTTAGTATGTATACTAACGGTTCTTTGTATTCGGGATATAATAAAGCTTAAATACCTTAAAATAAATTTTTTTATGTACCAACTTTTTAAACTTTACATTTTTTATTTATTTGTGATGAAGTAACCAAAACGATTGCTCTTCAAACTCCAAACTCTCAATACTAATTGTCATTATCTGGAATAATTTTATCTTGAAGATGACGCAAATAATACGAATTATGTGATTAATTTCATACTATTATCATAATAATGTTTTTAAGTTTAGAATTTATTTTGCTAAAATTGCCAATGATATAAGGGAATTTGAATGTCATATAAAGTCTTAACATTTAAAATTTTTAATATAGATATATTGGACTTCCTGACGATGTTCGAATTTAGAGGTCAGGTTGGATTATTTATTATTGAACTAACCCATCAGAATATAATTTAAATAATCATATGCAGATTTTATGGGAATTTAAGTACCTACGCTTTAATTACGGGTCGAATCGAATTATACAATGGCTGGTTTAAGTTACGACATTTTCATCTTAGTCGGGTAACACTATGTTTAATAACTATGACTCTTTTTTATTTTTTATTTTTATTTTTTTTATTGCAGTCACTTGATCAAAAATTTTTGCTAATCGCTCAGTTTTCTCAAGCCTTAGTAAGGAAATAGCCTATATTTAAAGACGAGAATAATAGAGGCAGATGTCGAAATTACAACATAGCAATCGCGAATACTCAGTAAAATTCCTATATTTGAGCTTCTCTTGTGGCTGAAACCAGACGTGCCAATATAAAGACTTGTTGCACGTAAGAAATTATTTGATCTTTAACTTCAAATATTTAAATTATTATATACTTATTTATTTTATTTTAAAATTTAATTTTACCTCCTTCTCATCATCATCCTCCTCTCATCCTTCTCATTCTTCTTCTCCTCCTCCTTAACAAAGAACTTCACTTACATATTACATTATGTTTCAGTATAGTCATATGCAACGTTATGGGTAGAGCTCCAAACAAGGTACAGGTCAATTCGGGTCACCTGTCAGGCTGACGAAGACTTTCAGATAAGCATAGTTAAAATTCATGATGATTGGTTAATTGAGGCGGCACATGATCAATTTAATTTCAATTGTTAATTTATATTGTTATTTTTACTTTAAAAATATATATATTTTTCACTAACACGACTTTTTAATAAAAATTTGTTCGTATATTCTTCAAGCCTTAAGTAATAAATAGTTTTAAGATCCAACATAGAAAAAACATTTAATAAAAAGAATGGTAAAGGATAATGCGTAATTTATGACAAGAAATGATATTAATGAAAAATTTCGACAATTAACAACAAATCTGTACCAAAAAAACAAGTTTACACATATATTCACATTTTTGAATATCTCAAAGAAACCCGAAATATATTGTCGAAGTAAATAATTGGTTTTTATAACATTTTTCTTAAAAAATTTAAGAAAAGCGACAGTCACTTTTAGTAAAATTTAAAACCATTTTTAAAACCTATGGGATTTAATTTTTTAAATTTATACAATTATTAATTATTTAAATTTTTAACTAATTTTTCTCGATATTATAATCAAAAAGAAACTCTGATCTGAAATTACCAGTCAGCTTTGATGCCCATTTTATTTGCTACATTTTACATTGTTAACGCTATTCTATATCAATTCATAAAGGTATTAGTTTACTACAGCTTGTCCTGATTATCCTAATGTTAAGGTACTCGATGCAATGTTTACAACTGGTGGTGGAATCGATAGTTTATTGTTACCTAAGTTTTAAATGACGATATCGAATCATATACCAAACTCGTTACTATATATTTATTTTTCGATTGTGACGGTTGTGTTCCTGTTACAAAGTATATTTGTGTTGTGAGGCAGCATCTGGAACGAAATATACTTGGAATTTTCGATTCAGAAGTCGATATTATAATTGGTGCTATGAATGGAAATGTAATTAAATTAGTACTAGAATTTCTTTTCAAAAAAAAAAAAAAAATCTTTACAAACTTGTAACCTCCGATCATAGTTACAAGATACAAGATTCCAAGCCGGACTACAAAGTATATATCATTTTTTTCAAAAAAAAACCTATTAATTATTCAATAACGTGATTATATAGTGCATTCTTTTAATTTATCTAAATACGCAAAAAATTTTCTGTGAAGTTCTACCGCAAAGCGCTGAAGTCGTGATCTGTGACTGCGCTAAAATAAAGTCATGTGATCTAAATGATCGACATAGTTGACGAAGTTGACAAAGTTGACAAAGTTGCTAAAGTTGTCAACGTTGATCAAGTTGACCAAGTGGACATATTAGATATATGGATTATATTTATCATATTTATTAATTATATCTTATTTATTATATATATTATATTTATCATAGTTATATTATTTGTTCTCTTTGTTATATTTGTTATAGTTGATTTCAGAGAATTTATATAGTAAAAACATCATCAACACCACAAAAAAAAAAAATTATTACTCGACAGAAAAAACCGCGGTTATCTCTAAATTTTGTTATCGCACGTGGTAAAATTTTTTTTTCTCACTCCTCTAACCTTTTATCTAACAAGTATACATGAATTAATCTTGTGTTATCTTAACAAATTGCTTTTCGAGAAGTGTTATTGCCTTTTTGAGGAAAAGTTTAATTACCATTATTTTGTTAAGGATGATTCGTGCCATCAGTAATTTATTTTTTAAGCCGATAACATCGATAATATGCAATGTCGAAATTAAAAAACGAACAATTCGTAATGAAGTTAGAATGCATCACAATGTTAACGTAAATCAACGACAAATTTATTGGTAAAAGAAAATCTTTTTATATTTGATAAGGAATAAATATCAAAAAAAAAAAAATGATAACAATTCTTTACAGTACGTTGAGTATAGGATTCGAGTTAGCATTCGAATACTGTGTATTCGAATGAGATTTTTTTGCATGAGACGGCTATCGCCTAATTTGGAAATTTAGCGAAAAATAACTAACATTACATTATAAAATTAAATAAAAAATGAAATTGTATTTTATAAATTTTTAATTGAAGTATTGAATTAAACTTTAAAATTTAAATTGAAAATAAGCATATCGTTATTTTAGTACGAATTTTAGCAAATTTATAGTGAATTAAATTTAAAAAAAAAAATTTTTTTTTGTAATCTATACGGTCCAATTTCAGTGGTCTTGTACCTGAAATTAGAATTTAACTGAAATTAAAATAGTTACACAGAAATTGACCAATAAGATCATGAATGAAATTAGAATTCAGATGACATAAAGGGTATCGAAATTGGAATTCCAATTTTATTTGACACTCAAAGATCATCTGAATTCCAACTTCAGACGAAAATCAATTTCAGTCACAACAGTTTCTTCTTTCATGTCTAACATAATTGAATTCTATTTGAGTGAGAATTTCTGCATAAAGGCATTTGAAAAGAATTATTATTATAAATATATGAGTCGTTAGCTGTTTGAAATGATTATTTAATGTGAAGATGTCAAATAATGTTCGGATCATATGATTTATTATATCTCGTAACCTGATTTTAATAGCTAGTTGAACTTTATTTTATTACTTCCTGTCCTTTGAAATATACTATAAATTTTGACGTAAATTTTTTTTTTTAATTCTTAGAAATTAACAAATTTGTTTTTGAAGTAAAAATTTTAAAGAACATTTTATTCCGTGGCTCTAATTTTCGTAATAAAAATCAAGTATTAAGTAATAATTATTTCACGGAGTCACTATGGAATATCATAATTTGTCACGGTTGAGCCTTGAAATCATCGATATCCACAGTTCCTTGTGAAATAATTATTACATATCATACTACTGAATGTGACTTAATCATTTCAAATTAATGTCTTTACTACATTCAATTCTTTGAAATTAAATAGAATAATGATGTATGCTAAAAATTATATCAGAGTAGGAATCTATAAAAGAATCTGGTATATTTGGTTTTTCAGTATTTTCGTAGTAAAGAAATGTTAAGGAATCAGTCAAAGTTGGTAAACTTGTCTTCGGGGTAATGGAGCAATCAAAACTAGATTTAATAAGAGCCTTTGTTCGTCACAAAGGGCTCCGGTTTCAAATATCAAATTCAAATTCTTTCGTTACATAACAATCATCTAACAAACAATTATGAATTTTAATAAAATCAATTGAAAATTATCTCTATAGATGAGAATGTAAAGTATTTACCAATATTTTTATTTTCAGATAATTTATTACTTTTGTCCTGTATGTGTTCTTCATCCAAATTTTCGTTGAACATCCTTTTGCCTTTTGAACAATTTTGTGTTACAAAAATGAATTTATAAATATATTCTGATTATAAAAAGAGATTTTACCTAGTTTCGAAATAATAGATCGATTTCTTGTAATTGCAGATATCATCATTTCACTTAAGAGCCTGCTTTTGTAAACTGCACCAGGATGATTTGTCATTATGGTTTATTTTTAAATTCATTAGACATGATACATTTCATAAAGTTATTGTATATCTCAGCAGCTGACGGTCTTTGATTCGGCTCAGAATGCCAGCATTTGTTGCATTAATTCAATATAACCCTTGGGTGCATTGGTAAAGCTATATATATCTGAAGATGTGGTATATATTTGTCGTTGAAGAATCTCTAGAACAACATAAGGTACAATATCATAAACATCATCATCATTGTCTGTTGATTCGGTCGAAGATTTACTTATTCCTAGATCGCTTATTACTGTGTAAAATACACTATAAAGGATGTTTCAGCTATGAAAATCTCGATGAATAATATTTTGACCAGCTGGCTTTAGTGGTAGTCAAGTAAAAAGTGACAAATGGATAAATGTAAGTATTGAGTATACAAACCAAGTTAAAATATTAAACGATTTTATTTTATTTTATAAGATATAATTAGCCAAGCAATTTAAGCTGAATCTGAAAAAATTAAATATCCAAATGATAAGGAAGAATTTCAAAAAAAAAAAATAAAAAATGGAGGGTGGAAACGATTTATTACTAAACATATTCATTCATTGGTAAGTAAAATAGTAATTATAATATTTAAATAATATATTTTACTTATTTTATTTTTTGTTTTTAGGCTCAAAGAATTTCATGTCAAGCGCGAAGTAATATTGTACAGCATATTAAGGATATTATCCATAGTGAATTTACCAATCTTCCTAAACTAAAACAGAAAATTGGCAAGTTATACAAAAAGAAGAACGAAGATTCAAGGATGCTGAAATTACACGGGAGTGTTATATGAAATTAAACAAACTATCTTATACGTTTCTTAATTTAATTATTGATCGGGCATTTACTGATTCAAATACAGAAAAAAATTTTATTGCATTTGGAATGGCAGTTACACTAAATTGTCTTAATCCTTCGAGGGGCATCAATTGATTCAAAGCGATGTTGTAGAGCGAATGAATCCATTACTTGAAATGATGCAAGTTGCAGATCGTGAAGAAGAATGAATATTTCTTAGTATTTTTTATAATTATAATTATTTAATATTGTAATATAAATATATAAATTTAATATTTTTAATTATACTTAATTTTAACGTTGTAATAATGCAGGTATTAACCGATTGCAGCAAAATGCCAATACCTATCAAACATAGAGTCCGTTGAATCCTGTTTAACAAATAATTAAAACAATTACTATTAAAGTATTTTACAAATGCTTAACTAGTATTTTGTTATATATCATGATGATAGTGTCGTCAGGGATCCAATACAAGTTAAGCACAAAGAGCGACAACCCAATATGTTAAGAGAATCAGTCAGATCTAGGGATTGGAATAGATTTCGATATTTAGAATCGATTTAAGAATCGATTTATCGCGATTATAGTTTCTCAATAATTGATTCGATTTTTTGTTTTTCAACTTGTCTAATCATTCTTTCACGTGAAAAATTTTAATTTATCAATAAACTTGCTCAATTTGTTTTCTTGTGGTCATATTCTTTATATTTACTTTCACCATAGCACAAATTGTTTCCAAAACTGATGGCAAATGTCTCAGACCATCATCAATATTAGTTCAACTACTTTTAGTTGACTCATTTTTTCCAAAAGTCATGGAAACGATTGTAATTATTGCCCGAAGTTCCTCGCTGGTGATTTCCTATTCACATTTACCTCACTAATATCATAAAGTCTAATAGGTAAACCTTTCTTTTGATAACGAAGTATTCTTATTAATCTTTCACGGAAATCTCTTATTTCACGTAAAATTTCTTTACAGAAACTTGGTTTTCTTAATACACAGTAACTGCAAAGTGACTGAATAGTAAATATATGGTTACTACCTTACTTAGTAGTAGCTTAATCGCAGCCTAATAGGTACTGTGCAGTTACTGAATAGTAAGGAAACAAAGTTTCTGTAAAGTTGTGGCGTAACTAAACCTGTACTTATAAAAAAACAATTAAAAAAAAATATCGTAGTTATTAAAAATTAAATTTAAAAATTAAATGCCGAGATTTTAAAATTAAAAATTAAAGTTATTAAACTTTAAAATTAAAAAAAAATTAACAGAGAAATAATATACAAAATTAATAATAAACAGAAAATAAATTGTTAAATTACATTTAAAATAAGTATTTAAAAATAAAATTAAATTATTTAAAAATTAAAATAAATCAATTAACATTAAAAATTGAAAATAAATAATAATATATTAATTACAACAATTACGAGTTAATGTTAGAATTAGGATTAAGGTTAGAGATATAGTAAGATTATGTCTTTGATACATATATGCTATAACTTTAAAAAATTAAGTTTTAACATCTATTTCACGTCGCGTTAGCGAACCTCCCGGGGCATCGCCCAGGTAAAACCGCTAGTTTTTTTGAATAATGAAATCAGTTATATTAAATAAATGCTATACAATTTTATACTTTAAATTTATAATAATTAGTTTATTTAAATTTTAAACATGAATTAGATGTTTAGTTACAAATTATATAAAAGAATGAAAAATTTGACAAATATTCAACTTTGACTCCATATATTAATGCGCCATGTGTGATAAATATGTCATTTTACGTCCTAATTCGATTTTATTAGTATCGATTCCAATCCTTAAGCAGATCTGCAATTTAAGATTTCAGTAGTCAATATGTATGAAAACCTGAAAACCAACAACGATTTTATTCTAACCCAGGCCCATCGTAGTAAAGATTTGACAACAATTTACTTAATACGATTCTTTTGTGTAGTTGTTTATTAAAGTCTAGTCTATATGAAGACCCAATAAATGTTGAAAGGTAAGGATAGAACTTTTATAAAATTCAAGATTTCGGAGGTATTTCCCAAGACTCGTCAATCCTTCTTTAAACAAGGCGAATTTTTGAGGATTTTATACAAAAATTCTAAATACTAACTTTTTCCATAATACAAATATAACGAATATAATATAATATAATAATAATTAAAAGAAAATAACGAATAATAATTATAAAACCAAATGTTATATAATTATTTTATCATATATATTTAATATAACATACATAATTACTATAATTATTTTTTTGATATTTTTAACATTTCCGTTATTTTTCCGCTGTTACTGCGCCATTCGTATCGTATAACACCGGTCATTATACTCCACCAAATATATAATAGCTAAATGGAATTATTAATGTGATGAGTCAACAAAATAAAATTAAATGATTAATAGTTTAGGAGTGAGAAATGTATAATTTGCGTTGTTAAAACGATCGACAAACGTCACGTGAAATACTTTTATACAAATAAATTTATTTTATTTTATGAAAAACAGTCAACACTATTTATTGTAATCAAACTAATGATTGACGAATATGTTATACCTATTACTATATTTGACATATATACATCTACAATTTTAAAATCTATAACACGACACGAAATGATAATTCATTTATAAAATGGAATAGTTAGATTGATTTATTTTAAATGAAAGTTAATTAGGATTAACATAAATTTTATTGAATCATTAATATTTATCTATGAGCTTCTTAAGGTGGAAATAAGTGTAATAAATTCATTTTTTATTCTGTTACACAAAAGAGAAATTCTTAAACCGGATAGATCTTCAGCAGCTTTTGAAGCGAATTTTACTTTCATTTTTATTCTACTATTGGCACAGCATCAATAGCCTGTTTAAATATAAATTATTGTAGAATTACTTATAAATGTACTGTAAAAGATCAAAATTTATTTTAAGTCACGAAAAAGTAATCAAATTTATAGCAAAAAAATTTATTACTTTCAATGCATTACGTTTAAACCTGTTTAATATAAATAATTATTTGACTATAACCAACTATGATTGTTTGTTTTATTTACATCTGATAAATGCAGCCGATGGAGTATATTTTTTATTGTTAAAACTAGGTAATCTGTCAAATAGTTGATCTACCATACTTAATAATAAATCACCCGTAATATAATACTTATTGGTGGATCACGTGTGGGACATGGTTTCAGCTTTAACCGAAAGTGTACTACGCTTACGCTTCGGACAATGATATGGCATGATCGTCATGGATAAATAATGGCAAAACCGAAGTTTTAAAATAATAAAATAAAATTGTTATATCATGGAACATATAGCTAATTTTACAACAAATGGCACACCAATAGTTCAAATCAGCACAAAACAAAGAAAAGCCAAAATTGAAAGGAAATACATATAAGAAATGTCCCCGATGTAAAAAAAGGAGAAGACGAGTTGAAAATCATGAGGTTTGCCAATATTGTTACAGATTATATAATCCAAGTGGAAGTAAAATGGTTGATGATTTTATTAGAGATAGGCAAATTAATAGCAACGATAACTTGATTGAGTATATTCCCTATAATCAACTTATTAATATAGAATTTTGTGTTGAAAATGAATTTCGTAAAATTTATAAAGCTACTTGGATCAATGGTTATATTCTTCGTTGGAATATAAATAAGTTAAACTTTGATCGAAATGGATCTATACAAGTTGTTCTTAAAAAACTTAATAATTCTAAGAACATCATTACTGGTCTCTTTTAATTTTTTGATATTATAATTAATTAATGAAAAAGGATGCCAGTTAATCGATGAATTTCTTTAGGGGAATGTATTCCTTTATTCAATAAAACAAAAAGTTTGACGTTGTGAAATGAGCTTATTTGAAGACATTCTGGAGGAGGATTTATTATGTCAATAACGAGCGAAACAATATGTAGTTTACTTAAATTGATTGGATTATTTGTTAATAATTTTGCACGTGATTTAATCGCTCTGCGAGTTCAATTTTTTTTGTCACACACTGTATTTAATTTATATATATTTTTGCTTATCAAAAAATGATTTTTTGTTTCCGAAATATTATAAATGTTATGTTAGATCGAGAAAGAAAAGATAAAAAAATTTATTCTTTGACAGAGACGCAATCGCCTCAGGATGCAGCGACTGAACAAAAAATTTTGCCCCTTTTTCCTAAAAGTTCTCGCAGAAGTATTAGGTGAGTCAGCTTTTATTTTTTGATTTTCGGTCTGACCGCAGCGATCGAATGACGATTTCTTTATTTTTTTTCAGATCTTGAGCCCGTTATTTTCTTTAAGTTCATTCCTCTTTTGAATCACTTCTAGTAAGAGTTAAGTCACTTTTTTTTGTTTTTATGCCTTTCCATTTATAATTTATTCTCTTTAGTTTATTAATGATTTATCTAAGATATCTTAGATTGCACAAAAGCAACTTTAATGTGTGGTGAAAATTCATTTTTTTTGTTGCATGATTCTCATCCTTTACTTTAATCTCAATAACGTGATCAGTTGGAAGTGTTTTGAATTTCTTAGCCAACCAATATTTTAAACTTTGAACTAAATTCTTAAATGGTTTCTATAAATTATTTTACAAAAAATTAAAAATACAACTCACATAAAATAACTTTCGCAGAATTCGATGAACTTTATTAGTTTCTCAATTTCATACCGTCTAATATTGGCAAAAAAAAAATCCACAGCGATTAATTACTAATCATGGTATATATTATAAAATAAATGTAAATTTGTATCGTTTATTTTATGATTTTTCTTAAACAGAATGATACTGTGTGTAATAAATGTTTCTTTATAGAATGTTACATTTCTATCGGTAGAATAAAATTTAGATATCGTAATCAAGTGCTCTTGTTTCATAACCTAAGAAAAACAAACATTAATTAAATTAAATTATTAAATATAGATTTTAATTTAAGATTTTACCATTTATTTTATCTTTAGATAATTTAAACTTCTTTAAACTTCTATCATCCGCAATCAAATCTTCCAAATCTTCTTCGAAACTTCTTTTATCTTTAAAAATAATTAATTATATTACTCATCAATAGATATGAAAAATTAATTGAGAATTTTAATTTTTATTGAAATGTTACCCAATATTGAAGTAGTAGGTTGACTTCTCAAACTCTTAATTGATACGGCAGATTTCATCATATCATTTAAATGTCTACTTGAATAGATTGCTCCTGGATTATTGGCTATGGGCCCAATATCTGTTGATTTGATAATTTCTGTTGGATTATGAAATTCAAAATTCCATATATAATGTAATGTTCTTTTTATATTATTAGCTGCCGGTCTTTTATTTGGATCAGAATCCCAACATTCCTGCATTAATTTGATATAACCTTTAGGAGCAGTTGATACTATTTGAGGACGTCGACCATCACAAATTTCAATAATAAGTTCTGTACCATGAACTCTATTCCAAAAAGGTCTTCTACCTGTGATAATCTCCCACATAATTACACCAAAACTATATACATCTGAAGCCTTAGTATATTTATTTCCATTAAAAATTTCTGGAGCAACATAAGGGATAATTCCATAAATTTCATTACCATCGTCCGCTAAATCAGTTGCAGATTTGCTTAAGCCTAAGTCACATATTGTTGCTGACATGGCTTTTATAAGAAGATTTCCACTATGAAAATCCCGATGAATAATTTCTGAACTATGAATATCATTAAGTCCATTTATAATAGATATCAATATAGACAATTTATCCTTCCAGTCAAGATCATAAAAGTTATTTGATAAATAATGCTTTAAATCGCCTAATTCATAATAATCTATAACCATCATAAAATTATTTGTAATAGGACTTTGTGTAATTCCATAACACTTATTTACATAAGGTCCATAAGATAATGTATTCTTTTTTAATGACATATTATAATCATAAATAATTTTAAGCTAGATATTTAAAAGTGCTTAATAAATTTCCTTATTATATTTGAATAATATAAATAGATTAATTACTATACCTCATTTAGATTTTCAGAAGTGAAGTTCTTTGAATTTTCAAGTTCTTTGAGTATAATTTGTTTAGGACCATTTCGTTTAAATTCAATATCAAAACTCAAAATATTACCATCAATCCAGGTAGCTTTATAAACCTTACTAAATCCACCTTCAGCAATAAATTCAATATCCTTAAATTGATCATAAGAAATAAACTCCATTATTTCAGATATATCAGATGTATTTGTGTATATCTGATAAAATCATTTACAACTTTATTTTTGCTTTTGTATAATAAGTGATCCATTATATACTGCTTATATTCTGTATTGAATTCATCTAAAATTATCATAAAATCCATTGTAGTTGGTTCTTGAGTTATTCCGTAACACTTCTGACTATTAATTTGCTAATTTTTCAAAATGTATTAACAAAAAGTTAAGTTATTATATATATTACAAAAAATAATACATACCTTATTTAAATCTTCAGTAATGATGTTTTTGGAATTATTAAGTTTTTTAAGAATAACTTGTGTAGATCCATTCCGTTCAAAGTTTATATTATTCATATTCCAATGAAAAATATAACCATCAATCCAAGTAGCATTATAAAATTTATTAAATTCATTTTCGACACAAAACTTTAAATTTATAAATTTATTGTAAGGAATAAATTCAATCATCATACCATCACTATTAATTTGCCTATCTCTAATTAAATCATCTACAACTCTATTTTTGCTTTTGTGTAAAATTTGATCTATTATATATTGCTTATGATCTGTCCAATTGAATACAATTATATTTGAAATTATCATAAAATCCATTGTAGTTGTTTCTTGAGTTATTCCGTAACTCTTATGACTATTAATTTGCTAATTTTTCAAAATGTATTAACAAAAGTTAAGTTATTATATATATTCAAAAAAATAATACATACCTTATTTAATTCTTCAGAATTAATGTTTTCAGAATTATTAACTCTTTTAAGAAAAACTTGCATAGCACCAACCCGTTTAAAATTTGAGTTACGCTTATTCCAATGTAGAATATAACCATCAATCCAAGTAGCTTTATAAATTTTACTAAATTCATCTTCGACACAAAATTTTATATGCTTGAATCGATCATAGGGAATAAACTCCATCAAGTCATCAATGTTTTTAATTTGTTTATCTCTAATAAAATCATCAACTATTTTACTTCCGCTTGGCTTATATAATCTATAACAAAATTGGCAAATATCATGATTTTCTACTCGTCGTCTCCTTTTTTGACATCGGGGACATTTCTTATTTGTATTTCCTTTCAATTTCGGTTTATCTTTATTTTGTGCTGATGTAACTATTGATGTGCCGTTTGTTGTAAAATTAACTATTTGTTCCATGATATTAACAATTTTTTTTTTTTTTTTTTTTTTTTCGGTTTTTCCCCTTTATTTATGTATGGAAACTTCATGACGATCATAAGCTAATCATACTAATTATTTGTTTCACAATACAAAAGAATTCTGCAAGTCTGAATTATGCATATATATGTTTGAAACAAAACATCATGTTCGACTGGTATCGCGTAACTATTTTCTATTTAACAGATTTAATGTAACGTAATGCATAGAAAGTAATAACTTTTTTTGCTAATAGACAAAACGGTTTGATTTACTGGTGACTTGAAGTTTGAACATTTGCAAGTACATTTATAAATTTGTAATAATTTATTTTTAAAAGGTTATTGATAATGTGTCAAAAAAAAAGAATGAGCTATTTAGTTAATCAAAGAAAAAAAAGAATATTCTGACTTTCGGATCAAGAATTTCTATCTTGTGTAACAGAAATAAAATGTAGTGCATAAACAAGTTAGAAATGTTGTACCCAAATGCGTTGATGTCCGAAATGCGCATTTGGGATATCCGAAATGTGCATTTGGGACATACCCGAAATGTTCATTTGGATATTGTCCGAAACGTGCATTTGGGATATTCGAAATGCGCATTTGGGGCAAGCGAATAGATCTTCGCATTTGGGATATCCCAAATGCGCATTTCGGACATTAACGCATTTCGGGTACAACAGAAATAATCATGTATGTAAAAAAATTAAATTAATGAAATAAATTAAATAAAAAATTCAATTTTTTTGTTTCAAAATTTCTATCTCACTAATGCTTCTATCCATGTCAAAGAAAAAAAAAATGTTAAAATCGATTTTACGATAGCTATTAGGATATTTATTACTTTTATTAACTCATTAAAGTTTGCAAATTTTTTTTTTTTTTAAAAAAAAAGGGAATAAGAATAATTTAACCAACTATACAAAAAAAAATCATTTACAAAATTTCATAACTTTAATAACTTTTGTTATTGGGATTTTAAATCAAAATTTAGTAATGGCTCTGTTAAGTGAAAATTCAATTTTCAAATTTGGAATTAAATTTCAGTTCTTATACCGTATATACAGAAATTGTTAAGTTCTAAATAAAATTTAAAATTTTAAAAAAAAAAAATTCATCATTTCAAAATTAGTTTATAGCTTTTAAACAAAATAATAATGACCCTTTTTAAATTAAGACTGTTTGGAATGGACAATCATAAAAACATTGATTATTCTTTTAGACGAACATTTATTTATGATAAATCAAAAAGAGTTAGTCACTTCATAATTTTTTCGAGTCATCGTGATTTACAATCAATTATGCCATAAAAGGTGCCCAAAATTAAGGATCAAATTTCGATTTCGGGCAATCCAACTTGAAATTTCAAATTTGGCAATGCGATTTTGCTGCCCCAATTTAAATATTGACCGGAATATGTGGTGCACCAAGTTGATTATTGCTCTTATTTAATTATTGATGTAATTTAAATTTTAAAATTATAAAATCAAATATTAATTTTTTTAGTTTTATAAATCTACTTTACAAATACTGTAGTAAATTTTTATTAATATCTTTTATATTTTAATTATAAGATTAAATAAAGAAAATAACTATCTTGCAAATTAGCATAAAAAAAGTACGATCCCTTTGCTAATCGAAGGAAAAAAAAGAAGACACCATATTCAGAAGCTGCTGCGGGCTTTCGGTCAAGAATTTCTAATTTGTGTAACAGAAGCAAAAATGAATCTAGTGTACTTAAAAAAAAAAAATTTTACGCCCAAAGATTATGCAGATGGAATCGGACTTCTCTAATTATAGATTCTAACTTTGTAGTTGTATATTCTATGAATCTTATTATTCCAAATTATATTATGCGCTGCAAAGAAAACGGGATCTGCTTAAAATGTATTAAAATTTAAAAGAAT